AGGAGAAAATCAACCAGATATAGTCTGTTAAAACAGCTATATACTATCTTTTAATAATTTGTTTTGTTACAGTCTTTCTTTATTTTATCTTTTTCTTTCAATTTCTTTCTGTCTATCTATTTAATGTGTCTATCTTTAAGACTGTGTTCTCTTTTCCTTTGTCATGATATTGTCAAATGGTTTCAAAGTATGAGATGATGTTAAAACACTGCAATTTGTAAACAGTTTTTGTATTCTGGGCTGGAATTTTCTGATTTTGTATATCTGGAATTGATGAATGTATAATAGTTAACTTTACAGATATAGGAAAAACTCTGAGAACTAACAGTTCTCAGGTAGATGTCATAGTCTCTGACTGCATACATCTATAATTGAAGAATAATAATAATAATAATAAAAGAAGAGCATACATTATTTAAGATTTGAGATAAAATCAAAGTGAAAATCTTGTTTAATTAAATGTAAAAAGAAAATATTCTCATCTATAATTCAGCTGAAACTAGAACATGATTATTTTAAATTCTATATACAAAGATTTGATGATAGATTTGATTTAACAGAGTACTCATTCTGCAATGTGAATGAAAATCCAGAGTATATTGTAATGCATTGTGTATTATATAATAGTCTCAGAGTCAGGTTAAAGAAGAAGTATGATTTAAATCAATTAAATATGAGGTTCTTATTCTCAACTGAGACAGGAATTAAATACTTAATAGACTTTCTATCAGAAACTAAAGCAGCTATAAGAAAATAACTGAATTCAGAAGTATCTGAATATGAAGAGATGGAAATTGATTAGATATGGTCTGTTAAAACAGCTATATATTATCTTTTAATAATTTTATTCTATTATAGTCTCTCTTTACTGTACTTGTTTTCTTCTGTTCTTTTCTCTATCTATTTAATATGTCTATCTTTAAGACTATGTTCTCTTTTCTTTTGTCATAATATTTTCAAATGATTTCAAAGTATCAGAAGGTGTTGAAATACTGTAATTTATAAACAGTTTTTATATTCTGAGCTGGAATTTTCTGATTTTACATATTTAAAATTGATAAATGTATAATAGTTGACTCTATAGATATAGGAAACACTCTGAGAACTAAAGATTCTTAGGTAGATATCATAGTCTCTGACTGCATACATCTATAATTGAAGAATAATAATAATAATAATAATAAGAGAGTGTAATTGATTTAATCTATCTTCTAGATAATGAGACACAGCTTATTATAAATAAAGACTCTGAAGACTCTGTTAATGAGAAAAATTCTGTTCTAAGTATTCTGACAGATTAATCAACTATACTGACAGAAGTCAAGAGAAGCTCAGACTGAGTCTATTAACATGAGATAATAAAAAAGATGATTAAGATATTTAAACAGAAGAAGATATATATTATCATTGAGAAGACTCTGAAAATGAACATTCTTACAGATAAATGAATGTACAATTGAAAATTGAATAACAAGAATAAAATCATCTCTTTTAGAGCTCATTAAGTGATTAGAGAATTTCTACAATAACAAGATATTTATTATAATTAGTCTGGCCGCTGAGATTATGAATTTCACATTTGATCTCATTCGATCTGATCTCATACATTTCTTGGCGTGAATCCTGCTGAGACTGACTATTAAAAAAACATGTAAAGTGACTATATATCAGATCTTAAAATGAAATCATAACTTGAAAAAAATGAGAAAGTGATTTCATTTAATCTCATTTAGTTTCATTCTTAGCATAAAGTTACTATTTTTAGACATTTTAAGGTTTTTTTAGACTACTTTTAAATTTTTAAAAAGTAACACTTTTTGATAATACTCAAATGAGATTTAAAGTCATTTAAAGCAATAAAAATAATTTAAATTGAGAAGTGAAAATCATAATCTTATTTGAAAAATGTGATAAGAGTAGATAGTAAGTCTCACTGAAACAGTATGAAACTACTATCTAATGTTAAAACTGTGTAATGAGATCAGTCAAATTGATAATGAGACTATCAAAAAATCTGATTCTAGTCTCAGATGCGGTTACACGGTCAGTCTAATTATAATAAGTTATATACAGCAGTGATGTCTAAATCTACATCACAGAGCTTATTCACTATATTAATAGCAAGAAGCTGAAAAGTCAGATCAATTAACTATGTATCTGCATTTTTAAATAAAGTATTGCCTCAGAATGAGATGATATTTATACAACTACTTACAGAGATTAAGCACAGTTATGATGAATTAGTAGAACTTATACATCAGAGCTTATACAGAATGAAATAAATAGTCAGAACATGATATTTTCTTATAACAGAACACTTAATAAATCTAGAATTCAAGATCTTATCTTATAACAGCATATTTCTTTATCATTCAATTCACAAGTTATTCTTGACACTATATATCAATGACTGTCAAATCACAGAGTCTGAAGAGAGTGAAATTGAGTGAATTTTAATGAAAATCAGGAAAAGATTTGAGATAAAAGAAGTTAAACAGAATAAATCTTATCTGAGAATGAAGATCAAATACTGAGATGAAAATCTAGCAGTTACACAGAGCTGTTATATTAAAGAAATATTGAAAGATTTTGCAATAAATAAGGTCAATTCTGCAGAGACCTCAATAATAATGAGTATATAACTGAAATTTTCATCTAATGAGAATGATGAATTGATTATTATTATTATTATTATTCTTTCATTATACTTATATGCAAGTGGAGCTTATGATGAGTCCTTGCGTGATGTTAAATACAGGCCAAGTGTTGATTATACAGGAGGAAATACAGGTGTTGAGACCACATCAAGATAACAAGAACATAGGAAATACAAAGGAGTGACAATTAGATACATGCGATAATAACTTCCCAGCCCAGGAACATAGAGCGATTTATTAGAGCGATTTGTACACCTCTGTATTTATTAGAAACCTGAGGTGCTTGGGTTTCAGATTTAATGTATCCCCTGCGGGTTTCGAACTCACATGCCTTGGTTTCCCATGCCAAGGCGCTACCGGGTGGCCGCATTAATCATTCGGCCACCGGGGCATGATGAATTGAATGACAACTTTACAGCTATGAGATATTGTCAAGAATTGAGATTATTGCAGTATTTGATCTCAAGCAGCTAATCAGATCTGATGTTCACAGTTAACTATCTCTCATGTTTTAACTTGTATTCATACAAAGTATGTTGAGTAGTATTGAAGCATGTTCTATGTTATATCAAGAAGATGAAAAATCATGACATATTGTATAAGAAAGAGATAGAAGATGACTTGAGTTCTGTAATATACTGCAATTCAGACTGAGTAGGAATGAATTCTCAATACAAATTAACTACTGATTACATTATATTAATTAACAGATCACTGATCTCATAGTAATTGTAGAGACAGATATCTATTACTAAATCAATCACAGAAGCTGAGTATATTATAGCTAGTAAGATAGCTTGTGAAATAATCTGATTAAATGATATGTTATATAATATCAGATTAATAAATGATGAAAAAGTAAAAATATGCTCACATCTATAAGTTGATAATAAGAGAGTAATTAATCTAGTAAAGAGGGAATTCTTAATATGAAGATTATATCATATTAAGATCAGATATCATATTCTCTGTAATTTGATTGAAAAAGAGAAAATTATGATAAAACATGTTGATTTTACAGTGAACATAGCTGACAGGCTTATCAAGTCACTGATGAAGCATGCATTTGAAGATTTTGTCAAAAGAATTGACATTCAGAAAATTGAGAAGAAATGATTGAATGATAATAATGATACAGCAGATCAATGAACTTTGCATGTATTTCTTGATTTTTACAGTTATTGCTGTACAGACATCTTTTCTAATGAGGAAATCAGGGTCTGATTGATGTAATTAATTATTATTGTGTTTTTGAAAGATTTGAGGATGGGGGAGGCCCCGGGTGGCAGCTTATAGGCCACAGTGTAGCAAGGGGGGGTGTTGGTGATTACTACACCTACCCTAGTCATGTGTCACCCCAACCTATCCATTTAGTGTAACTCGCGTAGTTAGATTACAACACAACACAATAACAGTATCCTCCAAGATTATATTGTTTCATTAATAACGTTATCCTCGAAGAAATATTGAAGTCTCAAAAGTTTAAAATATATTGCAGGGCACTCTAAGCCCTTGAGTAAGTGCTCTATAACTATCTCGAATTGAATGGTAGAAAGACTGGTGGCTACCAACTGCCGAAGAGTAGATATTCTTCATAAATATTAAAGAAAGCATTACCCCTGCAAACGTGCCTTAATACACAAGCTTGCTGCCAAGTGTTCAGAAATATACCTCGAAGCATGTAGCTAAAAAATTTTCTGGGGTGTCAATTTTACGATGGCGTACATAACCTTCCTTTTCGGCTGAATACCACTCTGTCAATGGTAGGTAAAGTAATGATTCAACATAGTTAACAAGAAACCTATTAATTATTCTACGCCAGGGGAAAACAATTTTGATCGACAGAGATTGTACTGGTTGTGCCACTAGGGCCGATTTAACAGCGATCATTTCAATTTCTCACTGCCACCTTACTTGTAGGTTCCAAACAAAGGGAGATCAAGGTTTTCTCCGGACTCTTAAACGCATCCAAGTAGCCGCACAAGCTTCTAGCCATACGAGCTATCGAGGTCCCCTTCCTGTTTCCGGAGAATATCTTTATCGAGGGTATGGGCAGTGATGGCTGTTATGATGGTCCTGCAGCTTGAGTCCACTGTGGCAGGACGGGATGCCCTCACCCCTGCGCACAGAACAGTCGCTACGGGCGCAGTAAATGGACAGCCGATACTGGAACACTAGCAGCGAAGCGGCAGATCAGAGCCTTACTTCTGCAGCGAAAAGTTAGAGGTGACGACAATCGTCCGTGGCCTGAAACACAGAATGGAATTGCTTCTCAAATCGCTATGTCGCAAGCCACTGGAACTAATGTACGGACAAAAGAAAGTTTGAGCCACAATTTACGCCTCAGCCCTCAGCAGAAACGCTAGCGTCCTGGGCTTCCTTCAGAGCTGCATTTAGCTTTGCCTTATTTCTTCCCCGAGTGTGCACACGTGTATCCTTCGGATCAAACCCTCCATTTCCCCACAACGCCCATTCTTCAGTTTCCCTCATATAGTCTTCAGGCCGGAATGGTATGCCCTCGTTCTTTTCCTTTTCCAGGAGAGTGAAGAACTTGTCGTAGTCAATTCTCGTATGCCACCTGTCGTTGACGTAGAATCTGTTGGACGCAAGCAGTGCACAGCAGCTGTGCTTATGCTCGGCTGCAATGCCGTACCCGAGGCCGCGCCGGGTTAGCTCAGCGTTTAATGCAACGACAAAAGTTACAACTTCCTCGTAGAACGGAACGTTTTGCATGGTTAGCCCAGCACTAGCACTAGTGCTTGTGCCGCAAAAGGTTACTCCCTTCACCTCCACAAAGCAGGGAAGACCTTTTTCCACAAGATCAGCATAACCAGCAGCTTCCTCATCCACATTGAAACCCTTGACAAGTGTAAGCCTGTAGACAGTCCGCTGGAGGTATCTCTTTTCTCGTAATATGTCAAGGCAGCGTTGGAATCGTTCCCAGAAGTCACGATGAAGGGGGCGGTCAATTTTCCGTAGGCTATCGCGGTTGCTCGCGTCAATGGAGACATACAGTTGCGTAACGCGATGAAGCGCCGCAAGTTCATCCGGATGCTGTGCATTGCAGACCAGGAAGCTAGAAATACGGTCATTGTGAAGGAGAGACAGGAACTTGTTGATGTGGGGATAAAATATCGGTTCCCCGACCAAGCTCAACGCACAATGTCGAATACTCATGGCTTCAGCAAAGCGTTCAGCCCGAAACACCAGGCACACCACGAAGCATTTTAATTTTCTTATAGTGTTCAGCCTTAACTCCATCAAAAATGAGATCAGGAGGATCCACTTTCCAGCGCCAGGTAGTTCCAACGGGGTTTGTTCCGTGGCGCCAACAGAATACACATTTGTTGCTGCAAGAGAGCGATGGGGTTGTTTCCATACAAAGATGGGATTTAATTCCGTAAAAAGAATTCTTATAGCAGGAGCCACGACCTCGCAAGGCGGACTTGGTCCACCGGCATATTTTCACACCCGAATGCGATCCAACTATTGTGTATCCTTGCTTGGTCAGAGCGGCGTAGGTAGGTGATGAGGTAGGCACCATTTCTAGCTGAGAGGCAGGTTTGGAAGCTTGAGCGCGGGACTGTGTTGTGAAATCGACAGGCAATGGTTGAGCATTAGCAAATGCGTTCCTGCTGTTGGAACCGCCGAAGTTAATGTCTTCAAGGTCCATAATCTGTTCATTCTTGCCCTTATTCCGACGGTTCTCACCATTCTCGTTGATGTCTTCGCCATCGTCATCTATATCTTCCTCGTCACTTTCCACGGGATCACCGCTTCCACGAACACCCTCGCCCAGTCCTCCGGACGTCATTACGTCGAACATAACATCGGTCAATCCATCACACCATTCATTCAGGACTTTTTGGATATTGTCTCCTTTCACATCCACCATTCCTAATGGATATGTTCTCTTTTTCCCAGTCAACTTGGCCATCCATCGATCTACTGCTTTCGCCTGTGAACAGAACCCTTCCTCCTCCGTCGGCCAGCCCTCCCGATCGCCAAAGCCGAAAACGGAATACCCGACCAACCCAGACAGGGCAGACGTATCGATGCGGAAATCATTGTGCGTATCATCTAAATGACCCAAAAAGGTATTAATCATCGTATCGATATTGTATGTCGGGATCAAAATGCAGTAAAGGAACCTGGTATTCGGAGCTGACTCGGGCGGTTTCGGCGCGGTGATGAAATAGTCGTCAAGCTCGATATACGATAGATCATGTAACTCTGGAGGTAGGATGTTTGTTTTACCATTATTCTCTAGTAATGGGTGAGATGCTTTCTGTAGTCTATCACAGAATGATTTGGCATATGTTTCAGTAGCACCGGTCAACGAGGCGTAAAATACAAGAGGTTGGATGACAATGCCCCGGGGTAATCCTCCGCCGCCGATCTGGTGTTTGGCGCCATTCTTCTCCGGTTTGATGCCGCGTACCCTCTTAGGCCCATTAGCAGGTTGCGTAACTTGTTTAGGTCTGTTATCAACGGAGGAGGACCTTGAACGATGGCGCTTGGGTAAATCGCCTGCCGCTTGGTCATTGCTGGAGAATGACTCCAGCTCGGATTTTGCGTTTTGATTCTGATTCTTATTTAGAGAGGCAGGAAGTGAATCAGGTTCTGGAGTATTGGGTTGAGAATTTCTTGGAGCTAGCCACACGACAGTAAAGATCACAGCTGCGAGTAGAAAGATGGGGGCTCGGTATCGATGCCACAAGGTGAGAAGTCCTGCGACGATTGTGAGAAAAGACAGTCAGAGCGCAAAAGGAATACATGAGATAAGTTACATACCCCGTGCAACAATTCCCAGGTCTTCCCAAGCCATTTTGATATTATTTACATACACCTGCTTCGGCCAAGAACGCGGGTGGTATAATATCTATCTCGTCGTCGAAACAAAAATGAACCTGGGTTGGGGTCAAATACTGGACTTTTTGGCGGCTTGTTTGCTCTGTTTGCTATGTTAGCCTTGTTTATTTCAGTCTAAAATTTCGTTCACATGACATATCAGCCCTAAGTCGGTCGCTTCCCCAACCTAGCCGTGGTTACCTGATCCAGATCTCGCTTATGGCTAGCGCATCGCTAGCGCCTGCCGCGAAAAGTATTTAAGCCTCCTACATCCGCATCCTTTTTTTAAAATCCAGTCGACTTTACTTCAAGTAAGCACCCCCCCTTACATTTGTCTATTATCGCCCCCCCCCGAGCATCTATGAATCACATCTTGATACTGATTCACCCGTTACAGAGAATCATTTCTATAGTAAATCGTCCCACCTGATTTTTTCGCATTAGCGACTGAATCCCCAACCTTGCTGATGACCACCATGTCCCCGGCGCCCTAGAGTGAAGCCTTTATGCTCCCGCCTCGATTGGCTCGGGTTACATGTGTCTGGAGGCTTAAGTCACCGATGTGTACCCGTTTCAATCAAGGGAGTGGTGATGATCTTGACCTTTCCTTGGCGTCTTGACTTCGGTCGGCCTGGTTTGGTGGGCGCCGCGGAGGTCTGAAAGGTCCTGTATAGTATTTTACATATTTTTCGGTCAAAAGTTACGTTGATGTGTGTTGATGAGTTCGGTACTTTATCTGCCATCGATAGATACCAACATAGCACATTAGTTAAGATAATGAAAAAAATTTCTGCAAACTTAATTTTTTCTCCACTGCATGTGATTATCATTACGCAAATTCCTCTATGGATGCACTGTACATGACAAATGAAATTTACTCCTCGTGATATGCCACTACTAATCCCAACGACCCAAAACTCGTAACATCAGAAGCTCGAGAATCTCGACAGATAGGGCTCTCGCTACCTAGTCAATGCAAATTATTTCTCGTCTCGTGAAAGGTATAAGTTATTCCTAGACATAGGATACTGCCATCGTCAGGTTGACGAGGCATTTTTGTTTCCCCCAGCAGCACTACCGCCAGCATTGCCTCCGCCTCCACCTTTCTTAAATCCACCCTTGCCTCTATTCCCTCGGCGAGTCGGTCGTGAGGGTGCTGGCCCTCCACCCCCTGGAGGTTGGTTCGGCCGATTGCTAGCATTTCCCCGTGCCTGTGCAACCGCTGCGCCCGATTTCCTCTCCAGCACTACAACTTGGCTTTGCGCTATCTGGACTGGGCTGGCTTGGATAGCCTTAGCCAACCCGTCTGGCTCCGCAAAGTCCACGTACCCAAACCCTTTCTTTTTGTCTATCTCCACTTTCACAACTTTTCCAAAGGTAGAAAAACCGCTCGCGAGCAACTCCTCAGTAACCCCTTGGGATGGATTAGCATGCTTCAAAAAGGCTTGTGTAGCGGTGGGCTGGGGACATGCTTTGCCAGAAGCTTGTGTAGGAGAGGAGTGCTTCGGTCCAGGCGGGGTTGTGAGCTTTCCCGGGCTTGCTGGCGCGTTCGTCGAGTTGTTTGCATTACGGCCTGTTGCCGTGTTGGACGGTGAGGAAGCCTTGGGAGATTTTGTAATTGCGGGCTTCCTAACTAATTCAGTTTCCCTGCTAGCTTTCAGTGAAGTCCGTTTACCACTTTCACCGTTGGAAAACGCGAGTCCTTTGGCAGTCTCGCTCGTCGGTGGTGATGATGCACCCTCTCCGTACGCTGGTTTCTCTGGCCTTCTGCGTGGAGTAGTTGGAGCAAGTCCCAAGTCCCGTCGTAGAATTTTAGTTGCGGCACTCATACTTCCCCGCACTCGTCTGCGCTCCGCAGGCGGTGCAGTCTGGGCCGGCGGTTCCTCTTTTGGCAACCGCGATGCAATTGTCTTTCCGGGAGCCTTTGATATTTGGTTCGCTGTCTGTTTGTTAACTGCTTTAACGGCTTCCTTCGTGGCCCTGTCAAGTTTCCACTGTCTGTCTCCCGGTGAGGGCGCTGCCTTGTCCGCTCGGCTTAACAACTTCCTGGCATGGACCCGTTCCACTTTAGGGTCTTTCCCCTCCCTCGCATCACCACGACCGTGTCTCGAGGGCTTTGTGAGAGAACTGGCCTCCTTGCCCTTATTCGCTTTTTTATCCTTTAAGAATTGGATTAAGGGGGTTATCGTTGGTTTCTCTTCCTTTGTATCCTCCGCCCCGATATCCATAGCAGGCTTGGTTACAGGGTTTGTTAAGCTCTCAAGGAATGCGATGAAGTCGGAATCCAGGTCTATTGTTCCCTGACGGCCATCCCTGCGAACTCTGCTACTAGGAACACGGGGATAAGGCGCATATTCTACCGCAGGCGGCCCCAGGACAACAGGATCTCGACTGGTGTTGCGCGCATCTTGAAATGCAGATGCTCGGACTTTTTCGGATAATTCTTCAACTAGCGGTATAGATGTAACACGTAGATATACCCTCGTAGGTCGAGAAGGCTTTGCCGGGCTAGCATCATCGTTTAGTCGTCAATGATTCCGTATCATCCTCCATTGCCTGAGAGTGAGAAAAAAAGGCACGACTCACTCTTTAGAAACTTTTCCTTCCTTGTAGTGAAACCAGTCAACTTTTCCATTCCCAACCTTCCACTCATCGCCCAGAACTGCCTCAAATTCCTGAGGCGTCAGACCAGGCGGAAGCCTTCGAATAAGTAGCTTCAACCGTGGAGCAGCAGCTCTGGAGCTCGGTTTGTTTGATGTTCCTTTTTGAGTGGCCGTCGCAGGGATGGGCAAAACACCAGCAGACGATGGCTTGGGGGAATGGCGCACCATTCTGGGTGATAACTTGAATAGAGTATCGATGAAGAGCAGTTGATGCTATATGTGGCCATGTGTATGGCTCCCAAGGTTGGCGATAAGGGGAGGGATGGTGGTGTTTGATGAAGTTGGTCAGCCAAGACCATTGTGTGAATCACTGAATCTGGCAGATCACGTGAGTGTTTTGCTAGATAGGAAGACTGCCAGGTGAGTTTGAATATAAAGTGATACTTTAGTTATGGATTCGGGTCCAGTTCAATGAATATTAATGTTCTAACTACCCAATGACAAGGTGGAAACAAGAGTTCACCGGCCTGAAGACGCTACGGGATTTGGAGTTTTGAGTTTGTTTGTGTTTCTAGGTCATATAGTCCTATTATCACAGGCATTCAACTGCAAGTGCAAGCGAAAATTTGAGCAAATTAACAACGCTCCAGAGGTAGAATCTCAGCTGGATTTGCATTTCTTCCCCACCTCATATTGGAACTAAAAACTGACTCATTCTTGAATCTCCCCAGAGACGGCTTTCCCGTCCCCGCCGTACCGTTTGCGGAAGCGGGTCAGGGAATGTTTTGCTCAAACACACTCATTTAGTGTTTGGAGATGCGTAGCATCCACAGAGACAGTGCACCATGGCACCTGTGAGAGCTTTTCTGCTCGGGGCTTTTCGAACTGTAGTTTTTGGGTTTGGGTTTAAAAAATTAACCTAAACACAGATGTTGCCTCTTGCCTGCTGGTATAAAGGGAGGGCAATATGACCACCAACACTTTGCCACTTAGTATTATTTGTCTTCTTCACTGCCAATTGGCAAGATTTCAGAGAATTCATTCCAGCTGACTTTCAAACCATTCCGGCATCGAAATGGATTTGTCACCCTTGACTGGTAGGGCATCAATGCCGTCCTCAACTATTGCTAGTAGAATGAGTATGGGCGGAATGGACCATGGGAGCAACAATGACTGCAAGATCTCTGTAGGTTACGACATTCCAATAGAATTGTTGAACTGCTTAGCTGGGTGCGCAACGGTGGGCGTGGGATTAACATCAATTACACCTGTAGATGCTTTGGAACTGGGACGTCATCAATGCCTGTAAGCTCTCCCAATCTCTCCATGACGAGGACAGGATTCCCTTTTACGTTTTTTCCTTGAGCTATTGGCCCTTTTCAATGTGCTTCAATGCCCCTGACATTTCTTTTCTGCAGGCTTCATTTCATCAACATGGAGAATTACCTCTAGGGGCATGTTTGCAGGGTCATGCATCGGCGTCATTCTCCTCGTCATGTCTCTTGAATTCCTCCGGCGCGCTGGTTACGAATTCGATAAATACATTGCTGGAAGAAGCAACATCTACTCACGACGATTGCAACGAATAATCATGAGCCCGAAATCGACTTCCAGTAGCCTAGGATCTCCGGTAGAGACTCCGATTGGCCCAGGAAATCGTGCTCCACGGCCGACTCTGCTTCAACATACTGCCCGCTCACTTTTGCACATGGTGCAATTCGGTGTCGCTTATTTCATCATGCTGCTAGCCATGTACTACAACGGGTACATTATCATTTGCATCTTGATCGGGTCTTTTCTCGGCTCGTTTGTGTTCTCGTGGAAGTCAGACGCAGAAAAGTAAGGAATTTCAAAAGAGAAAAATGATTTTCTCAGAAAGGTTTCTGCCCTTAAACACGTCAATGCCAGATGCTAACAGAACTTTCGTTGTACCAGTGATGCTTGCAAAGTCACTGTGTGTTGTGGCTAGTATCCAGCGCATAGAGTGCAGGCGCTACAAGTAAGTTAGCGTTTTCTAGTTCTCATGGAAGATTGGCAACATCAAGCTAACAAAAGATTGCGAAATCGCCTACAGAAGAGCTATACTTGGGCTCTGCGACTAGACCAATCAACTGGGTTAGTTCACATTTAAAGCGCGGGGGCGATGACTCGGACATGATAAATAAAAGCGTGTAATATTGGTCTTCTTCTTGCATTGAGCAAAAAGGGGTGGCAGGAGTTTACTACATCTTGATGTAATTAATTAATGTAACTGGTTCCTAGTCGTCAGTTAGAGTAACACCAGGTAAAACTCCTTTTGATTTTCAGTCTACAGGAAGTTTCTCCGAATATAATATTAACAAGCATCAAATGCTCGCTTACGCTCGGTTTGCTGCTTGCGCAGCCCCCTCTACCACTTCCACCCTCCCCCGACCACCTCCTACCCGCCTCTTACCACCCCTTCCACCCTCTTCCACACCGTATCACCTCTACCACCCCTTCCACCCCTTCCACCCCTTCCACCCCTTCCACCCCTTCCACCCTCTCCCTCTACCACCGTCTACCACCCTCTACCGCGCTCTACCACCCCTTCCACCCTCTGCCCCTACCACCCTCTTCCACCCCGTATCACTCCTTCGACCCCTTCGACCCCTTCCACCCTCTACCCTCTCTACTGCCTCTATCACTCTCCCCCCCTACCACTCTCTTCCACCCCGTATCACCTCTATCACCATTATCAGATTAATCAGAGCCATACAGACTGCAGAGCCAGCTGTTCAATCCCATCTGAATTCAAAGAGATGCACATGACATCACATGAGATCATGTTACAGAGAATTTAGCAGTGCATGCTATGAACACAGAGATCAAAAATGAATATAGAGAAAAGTATAAAGAATGTAAATACTGTAGAGAATGTATGAAAAGAGCAGAATAAACAAAAGAATGAAGATTTGAAGATTGATCTGAGCTGTATAAGTCAGAGTATTCAAATATTTTTGATAAAATGTACATAAAAAATTTGATTTTTCTATAATATATAAAGAGATAAGTATGAAATACTTACTTATACTCACTTTGCAACTTATACAGTCTCTCTATGTGACAGGCTGCGCCTGATCAATTATATAGACTATTTCATTTCACTTCATAGATTCTGCTGAAAGCTTCAATTCTCAGTCATCAATTCTCAGCTGAAAAACTTATAAAATTTCTATTCTTCTGTCTCAAAGCTTTATTATATATACAGAATTTCTATTCTACTGTTCTGAAGCTTCACTGTGTATATATATAAATATTCACTTCAATCACTGATTTCTGTACTTTCTCTTTTTTTCTTCTCTAATGTTTTTCACTTTTGTATTATAAGATCTATATATTATATCTATCTATTTAGTATAGATCTCTTACACTTGAAAAATGTTCATTATCTTCTTATTAGAAATGATTATTTATTAAGAAGATATCTGAATATATAATAATATATAAGAAATAGAGAAATAATTAATTAGTTAAGCAGACACTGAGTCTCTATATAGAAGCTTACTCATCAGTCACTCTGACTCTGTCATGTATACACGACCACGCGTTATTCACGCGTTTATACGCGTATGAACATGTTATATGTGTAACTCTCAGTATATTTATATATTCTGAGAACTGCTTATCTTTTCTAATCTTTTCTCTTTCTTCTTCTAACTATTCTACTTAGAGAAATTAATTATCTTTTATATTTCTGATGATCTAGTGTAATAATGATAGTATATCTATATAATAATCTCAGTTAAGAACATCTTAGTTAAGATACTACTGTAACTGTTATTACAAGATCACTCTAGAGTTTGTAGTAAACACTGTGAAAAGATTGAGTGCTCACTGATATGAAATAACCTGTTGAAACTGATCACTGTGACATCAAGATCTAGCTTTCACTGTTAAAAAAAGTCAATTTAATCAGGAATTCTCTGTCTGTTATTCATCTTCTGCGAGGAAGAGCTCACTTTAAAACAACTTAATATCTGTAATATCTCTATTAGTCAATAGTACAAAGTTTCTCTACATCAATCATCTCTTGACAGAATGTTAGAGAATTGAGAGAGAAGTCACTTCACATTCTTCTCTTCTTTTTCTGTTATAAGCAGTTTGAAATCTTTCATAGACTTGTCAGATGAGATCTTTTCTACAGTAAGTAAGAGTAAACAAGCTCAATCTGTCTTCTCAGCCTATTCAAAGACACAGTTCAAAATTGATGCTGCTTTCATGCTGCTATATCATATGTTCTTTAAGAATAAAAAACTATAACAACTCATAGGCATAGCCTCTGTTACTGACTTCAAGTGAGTCAAGGCCATATTCACTCTGAAAGAAAACTCATTCAGAATCATCACTCTGACAAGAGTAAGAGAACAATTCAAAAGCTTAATAACATCTCATAGATCTATCAGCTGATTTACTGACTGAGTTGTTAAATTCTGTAGAGGTTCAAATCAAGCTGATAACAAGCCTATGTCATTTGACTCAGATAATGACTATCAATAAGAGACTCTCTGAATGCAGTGACTAGATTCTCTGTTTTTCAATCATGATAATATGCAACCAGGTTTCAGATCAGTGAACAAGATTTCAGATGATCTTAACACTTAATCAGACAAGTCTCAGCAATTTATGATAGTCTTAATGTATTCAACTGCTAACAACTGAGTTCAAAAGACCTTCTTTCATCTCAATTTCAATGTCACTCATTGAGCACCTGATATCAACATTAATTCTCATATGCTATTTACACATCTCATCAATTCTCTGAACACTCAGGCTTGAACACAAGAATATCAGAATATGAATCACAGTATAAATAATTCTGAGCATCATCAGGTTGAGAAATATGAAAATTATGTCATCAGAAACACTACACAAGAACTGCTGTGTAAATCTCACAATATTCAACTCTCTTCTAGTGAGTCATTCTCTTCATTCAGTTCTTCATCAGATGAAGAAAGACATCACTGTAATGAACACCTCACATGCTATCAGTGTCACAAGAGTTATCACTCTCACTGACAAATCTCAGCTAGAGACAATCAGCACCATGAAGAACACTATTCTGTTAGACTTAAATCAGAAGATATTATAATATTCAACTCTGAGAAAACTGAAGTCTGCACATTCATTCTTCACTTTCAATAAATTGCAAACATATACAGTGAACAAGCAGTGCTCATGGTTCTCTCTCAATGCCTTCATGAGAAAGCTCTTGAATGGCTTATAGATTTAGAATCAGGTACAGTTCAAGAAATGAATGATAGCATGTATCTTTGAGAAACTGAACTGCTTAAGCAATTCAGAAGATCATGATAATAAGTAATGTAAGAAGTACTACATCTGTGCTACTGTTTTGTCACCAGGCACATGCTTTCAATTTCATTCTATTTAACCCGCAAAATCACTCTTCTGTGTGAAGCTGGGATTAACAATCAAATCCAGTTAGTTCAGCATCTTTATGATGGTCTTGAAGCACAGCTGTAAGTAACCTGTCTTATAGATGAATTTGCAGATGATTTTCCCTCACTCAATGAATTTTGTTGAAAAGTTAAGAATCAAGAAGTCATCAGTTTCAAACTGTGATCTCTGCAATGACAGGCTCCCCGGTCATCTTCCAGGTTCTATGAAAACAAGGAAGTCAATCTCAAATATGATATCAAGTTCAGAACATCTAATGCTTCAGATTCTCTTCAGACCTCTGATAGAGCTAAGCTGACTAAGGCTTATAATCAGTTGTAGCAGTCAGCAGCTAGATTCAACAATCAGAACAGTCACTGTTGAGACCTCAACTATAGAAATTGACAAGGCATCTGGTCTAAACTCTGCAACAATCAAACCTATCATGCAGTCTCAGAAAATAATGACTTGATGCAGAAAAATAAGAAATCTACATTGATCTCTGATATCTCTGATGAAAGCCTGTCTGCTGATGAAGTGACATCAGAATCAAAAAACAATTAATTGATCTTAAACATCATTTTTCCTTTGTCAATGCACTCAATATTCTTTCAAATCCAGATATTAATTCATTTAATGTGTATTACATGCTGGAGTTTTCTCATTCTTCTACTCACTCTCTTGCTGCTATTATGTTAGATGAACATGAGTTATGTTTTTCATCAATTCAAGATACAGGCTCTGGCTTATTCTTGATTGACAAGCAGCTGCTTATCACATGATTCCCAGCTTCATCACTTAATCCTAATTCTAATGATATCAAAATTTTCATTCACAGAATATCAGACAAATCAGTCTTGTCAACCAAGTACATTATCATTCTCATTCAATATGATCAATCATATCAGAATTCTTCTGTGACCTCACACTCACTGATCTACGCCATTTTCCATGTAGTTGAGACTCTTTCATCTCAAATGATAATCAGCATTGATATCATGAGAGAAATGAACATGAAAATCCACCTCAGCTATTCAGATTCTATTCAATTTAACATAGATGATGCACTCATCATCATATCAATCATGAGATCTTCCCCCCCCCGTCTCTCTGTACCTCGCTCGTGAAAGATTCCAGTACAAACTGCTCATATCATAACAATACCACCAGGTCATGAAGTTCTACTTGCAGTTCATCATCATGCTGTTCCAGCCTCTTCATTGCATTGACTATATTTAGAACCCACATGCATCTGTCAATCAGGCGCTTGCATCACCCCAGTCAGAGACATTATCACAAATCTCACAATTGACTCTGTCTCAGTTGCAAATCTTGAAATACTGTCTGTCAAGCTTCTCACTCAATCTATAATCAGCCACATTCATTTCTTATCTCACTTCACATCTGTTACCACCTATACAACCATCTCAATCACTAATTCAACTTCTTCAAAATCTCTCTCAAAAATTAACAATTCATCTATCAAATTAACAATATCAGATAGTGACTCAGATAACTTATCAAGCTTGCTCTTTCAGCTCAATTGCACTTCAGACAGTGATGATTTTCGCTCAGACATTTCTGCTGAGTTTGAACTCAAATACTGTCAAAAAATCTTTCAGCTGCTCTCTCAACTTAAGAAGCTTTTTTCCCCCACACTCAGTCAAGTCAAGGACTTCCAAATGCTCATTCCTTTCATTGATGAAACTGATATAAAAGATCTCAAACAAAGCCTGTTCAATATCTCTGCCCGCGATCACATAGTCATGGACAACATTCTAGATGAGCTCTGTTGTGAGAAGAGAATAGAAAAAGTTTCTCTACATCACTCATCCCTCACAGCTTCACTGGCATTTATTGTATGATGCAATGACAAACCGCGAGTGGTAATTAACCTTCAACAGATCAATATCAAGCTTCAACTCAATGCCTACTCCTTGCCCTGTCAGAACACAATTTTATCCTCACTCAGACATGCAGTGATGTTTTCTATCCTTGACATTATCAAAGATTTCTTTCAAGTTCTCATTAAACAACAGGACTGCTGGAAAACTGCATTTGTTACCTCACATAGAGGCCTTAAACAGCTAAAAGTATCTAGTATGAGCCTTGCTTTGAGTCCTGGATTTTTTCAACATATGATGAAGATAATACTTCAATCATTTCTATGATCTTCACTCCTTGTCTATATTAATGATATAGTGATTTTCTCCATCTCTTCTCAATAACATCTGAAGGATCTACAAGCTACTCTAACTTGTCTCAAAAACTCTGGCCTAACTCTATTCATTTTCAAATGTCATTTCGCCTATCTCAGTGTCTTCTTGCTAGGACATAAAGTATCCCACCTAGAACTTTCTACTCATGACTTCAAAGTTAAAGCAATCTGACAGTTAGCATTTCCTATCACATTGCAAGCACTAGAGACTTCCCTAGGTTTGTTTGACTATTACCGCGAATTCATCGTCTACTATGCTCAAAAAGTTGAATCACTACAAGTTTGAAAGACACAAGGCTTTCAGCACTCCCCTATTAAGGGTCATC